TTTAATTTTCTATAGCATAGCATTTCTATAGTTCGTATATTCCCCTGTATGGTAATTATTATGTGATATTGAAAATTTTATGTAAGTATATTATTATTTAATTTAAAAAATTAAAAATCCGGTTCAACCGGTTAGACCGGTCTCACCATCTATCCAATGACTATGCTGAGTCGGTGTCTGGTCCGGTTTTCAAAACATTAGATAAAAGGAAAAAGATTGAGGAGATAATTTGTTTGTTTTTCGATTGATTTCCCAGAATGGCCAAAGAGCCTTACAAATACGTTTCACATGATTATACCGAATAACTAAACCGAAATTAACTAAACCAAGAGATTAAGAATCATAAACCGATTAACTAAGGGAATTCCTATAACATAAACTTTCAAACTCCACTAGAGTAATGATCAATATCTCTATTTTTAATGCTCAGAACGAGATGGATAACAAAACTGCATAAAAATATCAAGTGTTCGATATCCAAAACAAATTAAAAGTAAAAGCATGGGTCTAAGCTAAACAAAAACATGATCATAACTTTTCCAATCTAATTTCCATCAATCAAAAAGGGTCCCACTAATCTTTACCATAATTTTTTAATCTAATTTCCATCAAATATTGGATCATTTGTAACAACATGTGAACCAAAAAAAACGGTTGATTGAGTTTCAAGATAAACAATGTAGTAGTAATTGGAGTTGTTTTTCTTTTCTCTAATTGGCATTGTCTATTGATTTATTTTGGAAGATCAATACGTAAAGTGATAATGGAAATATAGTAGCTGTGCTGAGCATCATTTACGACGCAATGATGCCTTTACAGATGTGGAAACCTTTTCTTGATTTCGTAAAAATCTTTTTGACCCTTGTCTTTGGGTGTTGATGTGTTTTCTGGTTTTGATTTTGGTTGTTGTTTTATTATGATTTTACCGACGTTGGGGCTTTGTTTTCTCTTCTCCTTTTGGAGATTTATCAATATAAGTTTTCATACGTTTAAAAAAAAAAAAAAAGAGATACGAACAAAAATACGATTAACGTTCTCAAATTTTACAAAGCTAACCTAAACACTACACTATTGTAGCTATGATACGGTTTGGTGCAATCAAATTCAACCAATTGCGTAAATCCAATTTTAGAAAAATCAAAGGACTTCAGAGTTCAGCTATGATTCTTCTAGGAAAAGAGTTTGCTCACTGTTTAACCCGGTTTAGCATACATAACCAACCATTTGTCAAGTACTAGCATTCGTTTGATCATAGCTCTTAACCATATACAAAATGATACTAGAACATACTATAATATCATTACTTTTCTGTGACAAACAATTTCAACCTAGAATCAATGTTATCTGGTATAAGCTCTGTTACTCTGAAGCAAAGTTATCCATCCGGATTTGACGAATCCTTTCTTTTGTTTCAATCGATTACCTTTCTTCTGAAGCCGAGGTTATAACGCACAGAGCCAAGAGCGAGAGAAGAATTAAAGAAGTTTCAGCTTCTTTCACTCTTCGTAGTGGCATTGATGAGTTCAAGCTCATAGTCCCAAACTTTGTTCTTGAATCTACTTCTGGTCTACAAAAAACAAGACATTTGAAACCATGTATACATCATTAGACCAGGAGGACTCATGGAGAAGACAACCATGTGGTGTCCTTTGATGAATCACTGACAAGGTATCATGAGATTACCTTATGAAACTCTTCACTTTTATGCCACAAAGACGGTTCTTTTCTCGGCTCTGAGCCAAAGCTGTGCTTTTCTTGATGAAAAGTTTCTACAAATGGGGATTATCAAGTTTCAAGTTTTTATTTATATTGATAGATTTTGATAAGAATCCAATTGAGTGAGCGTTTTTGATACCAGTATTACTGCTGCTAGATCTTCTAAGTGACGAGAACTCCTCTACCAACTTGCGCTCCCTCTCGCTGCCATTAAAGTAAGTTGTTTCAAGCATTTTAGTAAGCAAAAATACCACATGAAGAGCTAAAAAAGGGAAGTGATGTGACACAAACCTAAGGTTTTTGGGGACTGAAACCTTCACTACAAAGCAATGGTCTCCTCGGATTGATGGTCTATCCGTGTCTGGAAAACTCCTTTCCGACGTAATTTCACAGTGTCGCCAGGCTGAGTTCCTGGTGGAATCCGAAGATCCATTGTTCCTTCAACCGTTTCCACCTGAAAAAGAAAGATGTCACGCCTACAAGGTTCTCACTATCCAGTAACGTCAAGCAACAAACCAGTTTATAAGCCACCTTTGTGACGTCCCCGAGTATTGCATCGGTGAAATCGATGCTGACTTTGGAGTATAGATTAAGGCCTTCTCTCTTAATTCCACGCTTCTCATCAACTTGAAGCACGATGAACAGATCACCAGCTCGTCCACTGCAGAAATTAGAAACCTTATTGAGAAAACAAGTACCAGAGTAATAATACATATCAGGAAATAAGTCGAAAACAGCAGATTCTCCTGTACCTTCTCCTTGAATCCTCATTGTGGCACCAGGAGGAACAACAACATGCAATTTTTTTCTAGACTGTAGTCTGAGTCTCCCGTTGCCAATGCAGTTTCGACACTTATCAGTGATGATTTTGCCATCATCACCACATTTGGAGCAAGTGGAAACCTATATAAATGACAGATTATCATCTGTATAGCACAAGCCAAAGTAAATGGAAATGAATTAGCAAATTATCAGTGATGATTTTGCCATCACCACCACGTTTGGAGCAAGTGGACACCTATAATTCACCAGATTATCATCTATAGCACAAGTCAAAGGAAATGAAAATGAAAATTTCCATTCTTGGAAGAGCAAGTGATCAGAATACGAGTTACCTGAGACATGATTCCAAAGGGTCTTCTCTGACTTTCCATCACACGTCCTTTACCACCACAACTGCTACACTGTTTAACGGCATCACTGGATTTAGCACCTGTTCCTCCACAACCATCACACGTTTCTAAATAAGAAACCTCGATTTCCCGTTTAACTCCAAAAACTGACTCTTCAAAGCTCAACCGCAGATCATACCTAAGACGCACGCCCCCGCGTATCAGTGAAGAAACAACCACAATTCAAGCCTCACAAAAGGAATAACCCAAATCTCTAAATTCCTCTAGCCTAACTACATATAGCCCACCACACTTGGAGGCAGTAATAAAATGCCAATTCAATGGAAAAACTAGCATAAAGAATCCATCAGAACCTCCAAAGAATGCACTATATAAGTCAAATGGATCCACCTGAAGAATGGAATGGAAAAGACAATCAAGGAGGTCTTATAGACAAATTTTCAAAGCTGATACCATTATAATTTCTTCATAAACGACTTGTGAAGTATCCTGTGATCCATCAAAGCCTCCTTCTAAACCTGCTTCCCCAAATTGACTGTGTTACCTCGTCACAATTACAACGCCTATTGGGCCAATATATTTAAAATACTCTCTCCTCATTTTTGGTTTAATAATGTTTAAGAAAAGTCAAAACCCCTAGACCTTATCGTCTCCTTCGTTCATCTTCTCTTCTCTCTTTTCCCGTTGTCGGCTCTTGATGAATATTTCGAAACTGGTATTTATCATGACGTTGAAAACTTACCTATTCCGGATAGTCGCATTTTGGCCCATCTTTCCAAGAAGATTGAAGATGGTTTAAAGAAGCTTGACAGCAGATTCCACATCATTCGTAAGGTGGCTTGTGGTGGTTCACATGTTTGGGACTACAAGGAG